TTACGGGTGGTCAAGCGACAGCTGTAACTTATTTGACGGGGCCTCCACAGGCTTTCCGTGGACAGTGCATTTTAATGCAAATCAAGCCATTTTACAAGCTCTAATGTGGATGAAACTGCTGGACGGTGTTTCCTGAGGACTATACTGACTGTATTACTCAATAAAATCATTGTATTTATGACATATGACCTATCAATGCTTTGTCCACGGAAAGCCTGTGGAGGCCTCGTCAAATAAGTTATGGGTGGTCAAGTGACAGCTGTAACTTATTTGACGGGGCCTCCAAAGTCTTTACGTGGACAGTGCATTTTTATGCAAATTAAGCCATTTCACAAGCTCCGTTGTACATGAAACTGCTGGACGGCGTTTCCTGAGCACTGTACTGCTGGTATTACTCAATAAAATCATCGTATTTATGACATATGACTTATCAATGCATTGTCCACGGAACGCCTGTGGAGGCTCTGTCAAATAAGTTACGGGTAGGCATGCAGTGGTGAAATTCACCAAAATCCAACTCCGTGGACAGACCTTTTTTAAGGTAAATATGAATATTGATGAGTTGTAATATATATTAACTTTTTAGACGTTTTTTCCCGAGTGGAGCACTGTACGTTTTGCATAATAAAATGATTATAAACTTAAATTATGACTTGTTAATGCATTGTCAACGGAAAGCCTGTGGAGGTCCCGCCAAATAAGTTATGGGTGGTCAACTGACAGCTGTAACTTATTTGACGGGGCCTCTAGAGGCTTTCCGTTGACAATGCATTTTTATGCAAATGAAGCCCTTTCACGAGCTCCGATGTAATGAAACTGCTTGACGGCGTTTCCTGAGCACTGTAAAGCGGGTATTACTCAATAAAATCATTGTATTTATGACATATGACCTATTAATGCATTGTCCACGGAAAGCCTGTCAGGCTTTCCGTTGACAGTGCATTTTTATGGAAATTTAGCCATTTCACTAGCTCCGATGTACAGTACATTAAACTGCTGGATGGCGTTTCCTGAGTACTGTAAAGCTGGTATTACTCAATAAAATCATCGTATTTATGAGATATGACCTATTAATGCATTGTCCACTGAAAGCCTGTGGAGGTCCTGCCAAATAAGTTATGGGAGGTCAAGTGACAGCTGTAACTTATTTGACGGGGCCTCCACAGGCTTTCCGTTGACAGTGCATTTTTATGGAAATTTAGCCATTTCACTAGCTCCGATGTACAGTACATTAAACTGCTGGATGGCGTTTCCTGAGTACTGTAAAGCTGGTATTACTCAATAAAATCATCGTATTTATGAAATATGACCTATTACCGCATTTTCCACAGAAAGCCTGTGGTAGCCCCGTCAAATAAGTTACAGAAGGGCATGCAGTGGTGAAATTCACCAAAAAGTAACTGACACCTGTAACTTACTTGACGGGACCTTCAAAGGCTTTCCGTGGACAGACCTTTTTTAAGGTAAATATGAATATTGATGAGTTGTAGCCTCTAGAGGCCCCGTCAAATAAGTTACAGCTGTCACTTGACCACCCGTAACTTATTTGACGGGGCCTCCACAGGCTTTCCGTGGACAGTGCATTTTAATGCAAATCAAGCCATTTTACAAGCTCTAATGTGCATGAAACTGCTGGACGGTCTTTCCTGAGGACTGTACTGCCGGTATTACTCAATAAAATCATTTTATTTATGACATATGACCTATTAATGCTTTGTCCACGGAAAGCCTGTAGAGGCCCCGTCAAATAAGTTATGGGTGGTCAAGTGACAGCTGTAACTTATTTGACGGGGCCTCCAAAGGCTTTCCGTGGACAGTGCATTTTTATGCAAATTAAGCCATTTCACGAGCTCCGTTGTACATGAAACTTTCCTGAGCACTGTACTGCTGGTATTACTCAATAAAATCATCGTATTTATGACATGACTTATTAATGCATTGTCCATGGAAAGCCTGTGGAGGCCCTGTCAAATAAGTTACGGGTAGGCATGCAGTGCTGAAATTCACCAAAATCCAACTCCGTGGACAGACCTTTTTTAAGGTAAATATGAGTATTGATGAGCTGTAATGTATATGAACTTGTCAGACGGTGTTTCTCGAATGGAGCACTGTACGTTTTGCATAATAAAATGATTATAAACTTAAATTATGACTTGTTAATGCATTGTCCACGGCAAGCCTGTGCAGGTCCCGTCAAATAAGTTACGGGTGGTCAAGTGACAGCTGTAACTTATTTGACGGGGCCTCCACAGGCTTTCCGTGGACAGTGCATTTTTATGCAAATTAAGCCATTACACAAGCTCCGATGTACATGAAACTGCTGGACGGCGTTTCCTGAGCACTGTAAAGCGGGTATTACTCAATAAAATCATCGTATTTATGAGATATGACCTATTAATGCATTGTCCACTGAAAGCCTGTGGAGGTCCTGCCAAATAAGTTATGGGAGGTCAAGTGACAGCTGTAACTTATTTGACGGGGCCTCTAGAGGCTTTCCGTTGACAGTGCATTTTTATGGAAATTTAGCCATTTCACTAGCTCCGATGTACAGTACATTAAACTGCTGGATGGCGTTTCCTGAGTACTGTAAAGCTGGTATTACTCAATAAAATCATCGTATTTATGACATATGACCTATTAATGCATTGTCCACGGAAATCCTGGGGCGGTACTGCCAAAGAAGTTATGGGTGGACAAGTGACAGCTGTAACT